CCCCATTAGGATTTACTCTGTAATCCACCACCTCTTCAGGCTGCACTTGTAACTCCCACTCTTCTGAGATGCAGGTAGGTAGGGGCTGGCAGGGAAGGTTAGGAGATACTGCCTTCTTCAGCAAAGAGATATGGAACACTGGATGCACTGTGCAACCCTCAGGTAGTTTCAGTTTGAATGCCACAGGATTTATTTTTTCTATCACTTCAAAAGGCCCATAGAATCTTGGGCTTAACTTCTGATTCATCCTTTTAGCTAGACTTTTCATTTTATAAGGCTGAATTTTTAAGAATACCTTGTCTCCCACCTCCACTTGTAAGGGCCGTCTATGTTTGTCAGCCTGCTGCTTCATCCTGTTTTGGGCCATAGCTAAACTGCTCTTCAATTCTTCTAGCATTAAATTCCTCTCAGCCGTCAACTTATTGACTTCTTCTACTGATGTCACAGTTACATTTCCCCTCACAATAGCGGGAGGATTTTGTCCATATAAGGCCTTGTAGGGGGTATTCTTGATAGATATGTGATAATTGGTATTGTACCAATATTCGGCCCATGAGAGCCATTTAGGCCATTGTTTAGGCTTCAATTCAGTGATACATCTCAAGTAGGTTTCTAAGCACCTGTTCACCACCTCCGTTTGTCCGTCAGTTTGAGGATGGTAGGCTGTGGAGTACTTCAGTTTGGTGCCTGCCATCATGAACAATTCTGACCAAAAAGAACTCAAGAAGACCCTATCCTTGTCAGATACTATGGATTTAGGGAATCCATGTAATCGTACCACCTCCTGAACGAAGACTTCTGCCACCTCCTTGGCTGTGTAAGGATGTACAAGGGCTATGAAGCGGGCATATTTGGTTAGCCTGTCCACTATCACCAAAATTGTATCCTTCCCTTGAGCCTTGGGCAACCCTCCAATAAAATCCATGCTGATATCTTCCCATATTCTGTCAGGGATGGGCAAAGGTTTCAATAATCCTGCTGGACTGAGGGTCCGGTACTTGTTTCTTTGGCATACTTCACATCCTTGCACATATTCTTGTATGTCCCTTCTCATGCCAACCCAATAGAATAAACCAGATACTCTCTTCATAGTTCTGAAGGCCCCGGCATGCCCTCCAATTGCAGAATCATGGAATTCTTTCAAAATCAGAGGTATTCTAGGAGATTGCTTGGGTAGTACCAATCTTCCTTGATAATACAATAAGCCATTTCTGAACTTGAAATCTGGTATACTAGCTGAATTTCCTATCACTCTTTGTATGATATTCTGATATCTCTGATCTGCCTTCAATTCCTCATCTAGCCCTTCCCACTCTTTACGGGTAACAATGGACAAACTGTGTATACTACCCTTCCTGGAGAGGGCATCTGCTGCCTTATTCTCACTGCCGGGTTTGTACTTAATCACAAAATTGTATCCCAAAAGCTTGGCAACCCACTTTTGTTGTTCTTCCCCCATTATTCTCTGTTCTGTTAGAAACCGTAGGCTTTTCTGATCCGTGTGTACCTCGAAGACCCTGCCTAATAAATAGTGTCTCCATTTTTGTATAGCCAGTACGATTGCCATCAATTCTCTTTCGTACACCGATTTATTCTGGTTCCTCTTAGATAAAATCTTACTCATATAAGCCACAGGTCTCCCCTCCTGCATTAAAACTGCTCCTACACCTGTCCCGGAAGCATCTGCCTCAATCACAAAAGTCTTTGTAAAATCCGGAACCCTGAGAACAGGTAGAGTTGTCATAGCTTTCTTTAAGTGTTCAAAGGCGTGAGAAGCCTCGGGGTTCCATTTAAATGCATCTTTCTTTAATAGATTTGTTAGGGGCGTTGCAATCTTACTATACCCTTTTAGAAACCTCCGGTAGTAACCCGTTAAGCCCAGAAATCCCCTCAACCCTTTGACTTCTTTAGGTTCAGGCCAGTCCAACATGTCCCTAACCTTCCCCGGGTCAGCAGCTACTCCTTCCCCAGAAATTATATGACCCAAGTAGGTTAGTTGTTTCTGCCCTATTATACACTTCTTAGGATTAGCATACAATTGGTTGTCCTTGCGTAACTGTAGGATGGCACTCAAGTGTTCTTTGTATTCACTTTCTGAAGGACTGTAGATAAGTATGTCATCAAAAAATACTAAAACAAACTTCCTCAAATACTTCCTTAAAATCTGATTCATCAATGCTTGAAAAGTGGAGGGTGCATTTGTTAATCCAAAAGGCATTACCAGGTACTCGTAATGTCCTTCATGCGTTCGAAAAGCAGTCTTGTGTCTATCTTCTTCTTTCATTCTGATCCGGTGGTAGCCCGATTTCAGATCAAGCTTAGAAAATACTGTGGCTCCTCCCAATTCATCCAGTAACTCTTCAATTATGGGTATGGGGAACTTGTCTGGCACTGTGATCCTGTTTAGGGCTCTGTAATCTCCACAGAACCTCCAACTACCATCATTCTTTTTAACCAAGAGCACAGGACTACTATACGGGCTGGTACTGGGCTGGATAATCCCTGTATTTAGCAACTCCTTCACAATTTTCTCTATCTCGTCTTTCTGGTAGTGAGGGTACCTATAGGGTCGTATGTTAGGTATTTCAGCTCCTTCCCTGATGTTGATAGCATGATCACAACTTCTTTTAGGAGGTAACCCTACTGGCATTTGAAAAACCTCCTTATGCTTGTCCAACACTTCCTTCCCGTCCTCTCAAATCCGCGATTGACACGCGTATCACCTGATTCGTGAGACGAAACTGACGCGCTGTGAGAATTACCTCCAGAGTGCGACTCCCTTGTCCGAGTACGTGTACCCGTTCGCTTAGTCGTCCACGACCTCCCCTTGGATCGTCGATGACTCTGGTTGGTTGCGATAAGGCGCAGTTCGGCCATCACTTCATCCAACTTGTCTGAGATCGTGCGCACCTCTGTACAGTTGCGTTCCAGTTTCTGCTCGATGTGGTTAACACTTTGTTCGAGATTCTCAACTCGATGTTCCATTTTTGAACGCGTCAATCTCATTCACAATCCGCAGGAACGGACTGCTTTGATACCAATGTTAGTCACTAATATCAGTAAACAGATTCAGTATTATTAGCAATGGAGATTGAGGAATTCTCAATACTCCAGAATGATTACAGGGAAGATACGAAAATAACAACCAAATCTAGAGAAGGAACAAGGAGTTTCTCTCTAGCCAAAGCCCAGCCACTTCTAACTGAATACCAGCCTGCCCTCCCCTATTCCCCTCCCTTCCTTATATTCAGAAACCAAGCCAGCACATTAATTACTCCCGCCCCCTCATTCACCTCCTCACATAAACTCCCGCCCCCTCATTCCCCTCCTCACATACACTTTATTAAAATACTCTACACCCCTTGTGCTATCAAGGTCTAAATAACCCTTTGGTGAAGATATCAGTTGTTTGATCTTTAGTGGATACAAATGGTGTGCAAATGATTCCAGCTTCAATCTTCTCCTTAATGAAATGTTTGTCCACTTCAATATGCTTAGTTCTATCATGTAGCACAGGGTTATGAGCAATTTTATAGCAGCTTTATTATCACAATATAACTTCATAGGCAGCCCAATCTCCATCTTCAGTTCTGTGATTACTTGTTTGATCCAGAGTAACTCACATATTCTATTAGCCATAGCTCTGAATTCTGATTCTGCACTACTTCTAGCAACCACATTTTGTTTCTTACTTCTCCAGGTTACTTGATTTCCTCATACATAAGTGCAGTATCCAGAAGTAGATCTCCTATCAGATATTGAGCCAGCATAATCTGCGTCAGTAAAAGCTTCAATTGTCCTATTGTCTCCCTTTTTGAAAAACAATCCCTTCCTTGGACAGCTCTTCAGGTATTTCAGAATCCTGTAAGTAGCATCAAGATGTTCTTGGAGAGGATGATGCATAAACTGACTCACCATACTTACTGCAAATGCAATATCTGGCCTTGTGTGTGCCAGATATATTAATTTTCCCACCAATCTTTGATATTGGTAAATATCAACTGGAATTCCCTGCTTGATATCTCCCAATTTCTGACTTGGGTCAATTGGAGTGTCTGCTGGTTTGCAGGCACTCATTCCAGTTTCCTGTAGAAGATCTAGGATATATTTTTTTTGTGAGACAACAATACCCTTCTTTGATCTAGCTATCTTCATTTCTAGGAAAAAATTTAAATTTCCTAGGTCTTTGATCTCAAATTCATGAGCAAGTTTGTCTTTCAACCTTTTAGTCTTTGTGTGATAATTTCCTGTGAGGATAATATCCTCTACATAGACAATTAAGATTGCAATCTCCCCCTTACCTGAAAACTTCATGAATAAAGTATGGTCAGCTTGAGCTTGATTAAATCCTTGCTTCTTTATGAACTTTGTGAATGTGTCAAACCAGGCTCTTGGAGACTGTTTAAGTCCATATGAAGTCTTCTCTAATCTGCAAACTTTTGACCCAAACTTATTTTCAAACCCAGGAGGAGGTTCCATGTACACTTCTTCTTCAAGTTTCCCATTTAAAAAAGCATTCTTCACATCCAGTTGTTGTAATGGTCAGTCTAAATTGGCGGCAAGAGATAAAAGAATTCTTACGGTGTTTAACTTTGCAACTGGTGCAAAGGTTTCTGTGTAATCAATTCCATAGGTCTGTGTGTAACCCTTGGCAACTAGTCTTGCCTTATACCTCTCCAAACTTCCATCTGCCTTAAACTTGGGAGTGAAAATCCACCTGCAACCAACTGTAGGTTTGTTTTTAGGTAACTCTACAAGCTTCCATGTCTGATTCTTTTCAAGAGCCTCCATCTCCTCCAAAGCACCTTTCTTCCACTCAGGTTTAGATAGAGCATCATGTATGGTTGAGGGAATAGAAACAGAAGAAATATTGGAAGCAAAGGCTGCAAAATTTGAGGTCAATTTAGAATAAGAAACATAGTTTGAGATGGGGTATTTAACACATGTTCTTCTCTCTTTTTTGAGAGCAATTGGAAGGTCAAAGTTGCTATAAGTATTACCTTTTTCACTTCCTGGCATTGAGGCAGAATCATGGACAGTTGTAGGTTCTTGGACTTCCTCTATTCTTTGATTTCTAACCATTCTCTCATAAACTTTTCTGTTGATCCTTTTCAATTGGTTCAGTTGGATTTACTTCATTATTTTTTATTTCTTGATCATTTTCAGGTGTACTGATATTTCTAAAGAAATTATCATCCAGATTAATATCAAGAAAACTAAGGTTTTCATGAATATGTGGCACTATTGGAACATCTTCACTTAATTTCTCCCCTTGAAGATGAGAATCAAAAAAAAGGTTGTTCTTCCACAAAAAAAGTATCCATAGTAACAACCATTGTTTTGGTTGTAGGATCAAAACATTTATACCCTTTTTTAGTGGCAGAAACACCTAGATAAACACATTTTTTTCCTCTAGGATCAAACTTACTTGCAGATCTATCTGGATTTTTTATAAACACTGTGCAACCAAAAAAATTTAAAGGAAGGGTGTTTAGCAATCTATTTGTAGGAAAAAAGTGTTGTAGTGAACTGATAGGACTTTTAAATCTTAAAATTTTGGATGGCATGCGATTAATTAAATAAGTAACATGTAACACTGCCTCTCCCCACAAATATTTTGGTATGTTTGTTGAAAACATGATTGCACGAGTGACTTCAAGCAAATGTCTATTTTTCCTTTCTGCAATTCCATTTTGAGTTGGTGTATTGACACAAGAACTTTGATGGATAATGCCTTTTTTAGTAAAAAAGTTGTTTAAAGTTTGAGAAAAATATTCACGGCCATTATCACTTCTTACCATTTTAATTTTGGTATTGAATTGAGTTTGGACCATAGCATAAAATGCCCTAAATATTTTCTCAACTTCAGATTTTTCTTTGATTAAAAATACCCATGTGACACGAGTATGATCATCAATAATAGTTACAAACCATCTCTTTCCCTTTAAAGTTGGTATTCTAGATGGACCCCAAATGTCACTATGTACCAAGGTAAAAGGACTAGTAGGTTTATAACTGTGGGGTAAATAAGTGTTTCTGTGATGTTTTGCAAGTGCACACATATCACAATTAAACAAAGAAACATCTTTATTCAGAAAGAATTGAGGAAACGTCTTTTTTAAATAATAGAAACTAGGGTGTCCTAGTCTATAATGAAGTAAATACAAATATTTATTATTTGAAAAAGAAACAATTGGCAAACAAGCATTTCTTGGACCTCTTTTATTTGATTGAGTTTCTCCATCAAAGATATAGAGTCCATCCTCCTCCTTACCACTGTCAATCATCTTCCCCGATGCCAGGTCCTGAAAAATGCAATAAGAAGGATAAAAAATAACACAACATTGTAGATCTTTAGTTATTTGACTAACTGAAGCAAGATTGCAGGATAGATTAGGGATATGAAGGACTTTGGATAGATTCAGTGATGAGGAAATACTAATATTTCCCATCCCTGCAATGGCTGATAGAGAACCATCTGCAACCTTAACCTTTTTATCCCCTGCACTAGGTTTATATGAAGAAAAAGATTTGAAATAGAGGTCATGTGATCAGTAGCCCCTGAGTCAATAACCCAGGAATTTTTAGATTTCCCAGAACAAAAAAATGATGAATAGGTACCATTTTGGGCATAAGAACAAGAGGAAGAATCTGTTTTGGATTCTTTCTGGGAATTAAGGAAGTTAAGAAGTTGCCCTATTTGCTCCTGAGTGAATGAAAGCTGATTGAACTTGACTTGTGGTTCTTGTTGAGTCTCAGTCACAGTTGTTTGTAGGGCCTTCTCAGTTTTTCTCTTTCCTGCTCTTGATGGTTTGCCATGAATTTTCCAACAAGTCTCCCTAGTGTGCCATAATTTCTTGCAGTGATCACACCATGGCTTTTTCTTGTCATCACTCCTAGCCACCATTGCTGAAGAGTCCCCAGATTCCTCATTATGTACTGGAATGCTATACATAACCTTCTTCCTGCTATCCTCCATCCGGATTTCAGAAAATGCCTCCCTGATAAAGGGTAGAGGTTTTTTTCCAAGTATTCTCCCCTTAACTTCATCTAGATCTCTATTAATTCCTGCTAGGAACATGTAGACCCTATCATTTTCCTCCCTTTTTTGGTGTCTTGCTAGATCCTTGGCACTCTCCCACTTCTCATCACCATGGCACTGATCCAACTCTTGCCATAGGGATACCATCTCATTATAGTAAGAGATGACATCTCTATTTCCTTGTTTGGACTGCCACAACTTGGTTTTTAATTCAAAAATCTGAGAAGAGTTCTCAAGATCTGAGTAAGTAACCTTAATGGAATTCCATACCTCCTTTGCAGTTTTCATGAACATGTGAGGTTTGGCAATTGATGCATCCATTGAACTTAGAAGCCATGCTGTCACCAAGGAATTTTCTGACCTCCAGTAGCCATCATCACCAGTTTGTTTCTCCTTTATTTCACCAGTTATGTACCCTAGCTTGCCCCTTCCATCAATAGCCAGCTTGACAGACTGTGACCATTCGAGATAATTTGTGCCATTCAATCTATGGCAAGTAATGAGCATAGATGAATGAACTGAGGTCTGGTAGTTTGTCATTAAGCTATTTTGGGAGTTAGGGTTATGGGTTTGTGAGTGGGGAGAAGAGTCAGAGTGCTCGGTTTCCACCATTGTGGTGTTTAAACGGCCTGCTCTGATAACATGTAAGTTTTAGGAATAAAACTTCCTTGATTGAATGAGCCATACGGCCAGAGTATAAATACACTTTGTACAGATAACTACTAGCTAGTACAGATCCTAAAAATTAGGATCTAGATAACTATGAGCTTATCTACAACTAACTAAGTCTATCCGACTCAATATGTACATCAATCTAATCAGAAAAAATAATGTAACATTTTTCTAATAATGTAACATTTTTCTACAGGATGAGATGTCACTTTGTCAGAGGGTTGATAAGTGGAGGAACGATGAACTTGAAGAACATCTCAGGTGCAAAGAATCCAGCAGATATGTTCACTAAATCTGTGACGCTGGACAAGCTGAAGTTTTGTGTAACTTCAGCTGGCCTTCAAGAATAATGTTGGGAAGGCAGGTGGCAACTAGGAGGAGCTAAACACAGATGAAGTTTACAGAAGTACAAAGGAGTGGAGTGCAGTTGATCGTGTTTCGAAGCCTCCAAGTGGGAGATTGTTGGGCTGTAGGCTTCGGCCCATTCAGATCTGGGATCCAAATAAACAAAGAGCAGCAGCATGCTCTAGTTAAATGTGCAGGCAGCCCTAGTTGGGCCTGTTTCTTTGGTGGCTTCTTTGGTGGCAGTCAGGCCCAGAACCTTATTAAGTGTTTTACCCTAATTGTTTGCCTATATATATTGACTCTTGTACTTATAAACTATGACTTGTATCATTCATCATCTCAATAAGAAAGAAAACCCTAGTTGCCCCCGTGGATTAGGTCAGTAACACTTACCGGCTGAACCCCGTTATATTCGTGTGCCGTTCTTCTCGTTCTTTTCTAGTTTTTCAGATTCGTGCGTGTGTGAGATCTAACCCTAACATTTGTGTGTTTGAATTCTAATGACTTGCTGTTATTAGCTCATATGTGTTTGTGTTTTACACTTTTTGGACTTGTAATGGATATATCATTTACTTCTTTAGTTGTATGTTACTAGTTTAACTATTTTGTGTTTTATATGTCTATATATTTTGAGGCTTACGCCTCAAGGCTTATGCCCCGCCTCTTAGGAACAAACCGCCTTGATACCCAAACCCGCCTTTTTAAACCTTGCCTATTTGTGAATGATTTAGGGCTTTAATCCTATTTGTGATTTTTAGGCAAGTTTTAGACCTATTTAGGGCAATTACTATAATTAGGTAATGTTTATAAAACCGATATGTAAAAAATATGCAGTGAATTTTATTGGCGGTACTGAAATGCAAAGAAAAGCTGTATTGACGAAGTCAAGACGGGGTTTACATATTGACAGAGTTGATATTTGAGTTTATTGACGGGATATAGAGTTGTAGCCAGCAGCGGAGTCAGCACACTGGACCGGACCTATTATCACTAAAAAAATATAAACATTTTTTAAATTTGGGGTGGGCCAGGGCGAGAGTGCCCCCCTAGCTACACCCCTGGTTATAGCCAGGGACGTTCTTGGCTACATCTGACATTTTGGTTTAGCTTCTCTGTTTTACATTTGTTCCCTTCTTTTACTGGTCTCAAAATACTTCATGCATGAACACTTGTTTCCTCAATTGTATGGAAACCAAAAATATTATCTTTCATTCATTTTAATTTATGTTAAGAGTTTTTTCCAAAAAATACTGAAACAAAGCTTATTTACAAAAATACGATTAAAAGTTGAACCTAAGAAGTTATTGTTATAGTCACTACACTTAAGAGATCACATTTTTGTAAACAACATTTATCTTAGTCATAAATCTATAATTATTTCTTATGTTAAAGTATCAATGATACACTAGAAATAATTTTATATTTACCAAGAAACCATTCACCAAGGCTCCAGTTGGAACCTGACAATACTACGGAAACAAAATTAGGAGGAAATTAGCAGGAACATATGAAGAAATAAAAGTTGGGGAAATTTTAAAATTGGTTCAACTCAATAAATCAATTTTAATTACTTGTTCATTTTTATGTATATATTCATACATTAAATTAAAACTAAGAAATCTAAATATACGTCAAGTATTAACTATTAAAAGGTTATAATCAAATACGGACAAAATGTTTACTTAAATAAATGTCAAGTTTTAAATGGTTTTGATCAAATTAGATTTTCCTACTATTTTCTAAAGTACAAGTGTAAAACCAAACATGGGTACAAAATATTTTACTTCTGTTTTTTCCTTTGTCAACAATTTTATGGGTTCCAAATATAGCCATAAGGCTCAAGGAAGAGAGACATCCCAAGACATAAATGAATGTTTGAGAGAATACTCACCATGGACTCTTGTTGATGTGATAGTAAGTCCATTTTAACTTGTCCAAATGAGATTTTCCAGCATGCTCCCTTAACCAATCGCTGAAAGATAGGTTGCTATGCCAGACCTGTTTCAAAGGGGTTGAGAACCGGGTGGGGGGATGACAACTCTCTATCCATAAGATCCTTGCATTGATGAGTGAACACAAACAGCATGATGAGAATCTAATCCTCCGTGAAATATCTTTCTTTTCAGTTCGGTTGTTATAGACATTTTCTCTTTTTTTCCCTACTCCACTTAAAAGCTCTTAATTGAAATAGAGTAAACAGAAAATGAAGGGGAGAATGAAATTAATTAATTAATTAATTTAAAAAATACAACAAAATTTGGTATTCCTTCTCTTAGATTTACTTATTGATATGTATCTTTATTGGGTCAGGCCTAGCCCCCCCAATAAAATTTTAATGTGTTGATTCTTTCATGTATTTTGAGGAGGTAGGCCTCCTCTTGAGAGGTTTTGGTCTAGTCCCCCTCTCATTTTGTATGTTTTCCTATTTTTAATAAAGTTATCGGCAAATGTTCCCCGGCATTTACCCCATCAATGGGTGGTTTGCCTACCGAGTCCAAAAAAAGCACAACAAACAACAACATCCAAGCCTTAGTCCCAAAATATATTGGGGTCGAAATTAATGCAAAAAAAAATTAAAGCAAAAAAAAAACTTTTGAGCAATGGTAGCCTGGTAGGGTGAGATATTAAGAATACATGAAACAGTAGCTGCTTGCAAATTTCAACTCATACAAACAATATACAAAGTAGTAATTGTTCAGGAAAAGTACAAAAAAAAGTATCTCGTGATTGGGGGTGGTGGCACTCAGGGCCATGCTTCCCATGAAGGCAATGAGACCATTGACTTATGGCCCCATAAAAAAATGTGAGCCCAAAATTTGTAGGAATACATACATATGTTTATAGCCCTAAACAAAATAATACTCCTTTTGTTCCTTAAGTTTTTTCATTTGATACACACTCAGTCCATATGTTCATTTCATTAAAGAGATCAATTATTTCAACCACAGAACGTTTTACTTATAAGTAAAGAGAAGATAATTTAAAAATGGTTGAAAAAGGAAAGTAATTAGAATTAAAAAAGGTAGGAGAAAGTATACACTAACTTTGTCTCTTTTGTGACGTTCTAAAGAGTGTGAAATCACATAAGGCTAGAAGGCTATTAAATGATGATAAAAAGTTACAAATCACACACCTTTCTGATAATTAACTTTCAAATAAATTGCCCTATATTTTATAATCTTTCAGATATAGAGTGCGAAAAATATTCATTGAGAGCATGATTCAGTAAACCTGTATAGGGAGTAGTATCAAGGACTAAACCTGCATGTAAAAAATCCTGTCTATAAATGTTGCAGCTTTGACAATAAGAGCTAGAGCTTTTTTGTCTGCATCACTTATCCCGGCAGTCTGTATCAAGGAAATATTTTGTCAGTTTTTCTGAACATTTCCTAATAATGTGTCTCGTTGTTAAGTATCTATCTGGAATTCGTGAGGATTGCGACAGAAAAGAGAATAGAGATGAACGGATTTGTTATGCAATCAACAGAAAAGAGAGAGAAAGTGCCAGACAGTTAAAGAGATGTCAACTCTCCAGTCCCAGCCAACTTCCAAATTACAGCCTGCCTTATTTCTCCTGTAGCTATCTATTTATAGAAGTCTACCCGACCCCTTATTACAACTCCCAGCTACTTATTATTCCCTTTCCTTCTGGAATACACTTTGTCATAATAGCTAATACTATTATTATTACTATCAATAGGCTGACTTCCTGTAGCTCTAACACTCGTTAATATTTATAAAATCAAAAAGGTAGGGACAAAATAAAAAATGGTCTCCTGCACTGTTTTAGCTTTTTCTAATTTTTCTTTTTAACAGGGATGCAAAGGTAAGTGCTGAAGGAACACTATATTTCAATTTCGGTTACCATAATAAAAAGAATAAAAACGGGGGGAAATAAAAAAATATCCCTCATTCAGTACATCTCATCTTATTAATGTCCATACAGTAGACACTCCATTTATTGCTATTGTTTTATTCCATAAGTAAGAATGAACTCCTTGCTTATTCCATTATTATGCTTAACTACTAATGTCCGGATTAAATATTCGGCTGTTATGCAAGAAAAGAAAAAATGAAAGGTCAAACCTCGGCACTGAGTGAAACAGGAGCATAACGATTAAGCTGCTTTTGTAGGTTCAAACTCCTCAACTCAACATTTTGGCTGTACCTGTTATATATAACATTTGGACATACTTGATAAGTTACTAAGCCAAACATTTTACTGGTTAAAAAGTGTAACCACCACTTCATATGTGGACTGGGTTCTGCAATATGGTGCAAAATGATTACATACTATATGTAAATATGTGGAAATTAATACATAATTAAACTAGCAGATGCAAGCACATTATTCATTTGGATATCCATATGATAATATCACATTGGTATGATATCTTTTTGAAGCATATGAGATGATATATTTTGAAAATATATGTATTGTTTCTCAGGCAAACCTTTTCTCTATGATTTCAAAGAGCTGGCCATATGCACTATTTACATCATAAGGCACATAATGAGGATCTTTATTGGCAAGTAAGCTTCTATACTCCTGACAAGAGATATATTTCACCGCTGAAACTTCTGATTCCTACAATGAGATGAAAGAACGCAAAAAGAAACATTTAGGATTTGTGGGGTCAGTCAAACTGAAGATATAATCAACAAGGAACTTGACTCAAGCAATTCACAATTCAATTTTTTGTAATATTTAATCTAGATTTAGCGAATAAAATTAAATATTTAGAAAATAAGGATTTTTGTATTCAGATATTATAAGAAAAACAAGTGAAGAGAAAGAAGAAAGGCCGGGTTCACCAAAGAAATACAGTTAGGCAAAAAGGAGCATGAAGGGGTGATAAGCTAACTCATTCCAAATCCAGACTAAAGTTAAAATGGTGATCATCTTTAAAAGGGAAGAAACGGGGGAATGTGAAATAATTAGCGTTGGCCGTTAGGGAAAATTTATTCATAGATGCTATACTGAAGTTGCTTCAAATGGCAATGGTAGGAAATAAAGAATTTGACACATCAACTTACCTGTAGAGTAAAGGCATCCAGAGGAATTGGATCTATCATGGTAACCAGATATACATCATTGTATTCATTGTTGATGTAGGTCCCATCATTAATAACACTGCAAAAGAAAAACAGAAAGAGAATGAATCATTATGAGGTAATGAAAGGATAAAAATACACATCTACTCATATTTGCACACAGCTACTAATCTCGGAAAAAGCCATAAGGAAAAAAACTTGTAGAAGAGCTTCATCTACTGACCATTCTTGAAGAAAAACGAAAATTAATTCAAATGCATCCTTTGGAAGTGTTATACCAAGTTCTTCTTGAAGTTCCCTCCTGCATGCGTGAAGCAAAAGAAAGGCCCATTTAATATAAGACATAACAACCCATGAAGTATATGGAGCTCCGAGCGCATGAAGAATACATATGAGGATTTTAAAGGACTACTACTTTTCAATTCACACCACTCAAATAACGTGTTGAGAATTGATGAATATTGTACTCCATCAGAGATTTGGAGGGGAAAACTTTGGATGGGTTAGTGAGTTAGTCTATATATTGGTAAATTGAATGTTTCTAAAATGAATAAAAGGTGATTGGAATGTTATTGTACGGTTTGTACCACATACTACCGCTATGTTTTCAATTTTGTTTATAACCTGACATAGACTAAGCCCACCAAAACTCAACGCCTCCGAAAGCCTCCACCCAAAAAGGCCCTGAGGGTCTATTTTGATGGAGGTGAAGGCTTTTGAGGGCTTAGTCTATCCAAATAGACTAATGTAACAAGGTGGTCACACATCATTTCAATCACCTTTCGTTTTAAGAAACATTCTATTCATCAAATGAGATTTTGTGGTTACCCAAACACGCACTTCATTTTCCGTGAACTGGTGAACAACTTACACAGCTGAAACCAACGAAGAATCTCCAGCAGAAATATGCCCAGCACTTGATATATCCCACTGGCCAGGCCATGAGTCCTTGCAGTCTGCACGGCATTGCACAAGTAGTTCTTGTGTACTCTCAGCGTATATCCACACATGAACAGCTCGATGATAATCTCCTTCTCTGTGTACATCCCCTCTGTTGTATACATTAGTAGCACAAATCAAACACCTCTTTGGTAATCCTTTTCTATTATTTCATTTTATTCTTTAAAAAAGAAGGTCATAACGAGCAGCAACTCAGAAAGTAAAGCTTGATATACTACGATGATATTTCAAAGTGTAGGATATTCCAAAACATAAAGATCCTAACAAAGGTGGTCAAAGCGCTCGACCCAGCGGTTAAGCGCACCAGGCACAGCAGGCAGGGCCTCCAGCGCTTGGAAGGAGGGGAGGCGCACGCACCTGGGTCAGGCGCAGCATAAGCGCATGAAGCGCTAAAGCGCAGGGAGGCGCACGCCTGGGTCGCCTGATCCGGAAAATGCTGACAGCCTTTTTTTGTTTAAAACTTTCAAAAACAATTAGCCCATATCTTTAGTAACACTCAGCCCATCTAAATAATAGGGTAAAACCATTGAAACCTACGTAAAAACGTAAAACTTTGTTTAAAACACTAAACTATCATTGCTAGCCATCATCGCTCTTGAGTCTACTCACTCTCCTCACTCAAGCTGCTCTACACTGGCCAGTTCTTTAAGTTTTCTTCATCATCTCAAGCAAACTCAGTTCTCCCTCACAACACTAAACAAGATATGTGTTCTTTTTCATGCAGTCCTCTTCATCCAAATACTCATATAGTACATTGCTATGTATATATTAAAGCACTAGTATATTACTGTGTATATAATACTCTATATTACTCATAATAAAGTAATAATACTCTGTATTACTCTATATTACTCACAGCACTAGTATATTTCTATGTATGTAACAAAGTAATAATATTTTGTATTACTCTATATTCCTCTTAGCACTAGTATAATGCTATGTATATAATAAAGTAATAATAATACGTAGTACAAAAATCTGAGTTCAAGTACTACTCGTAGGCTTGTGGATGAGGAAAGTGAGGGAGAAATTGAAGAGGATGTTGGAGAATATAAATCAGATAATGGAGAAGAAACTGACTCCTCTTTTCATGAATAATAGTCCTTCACAAGTTTAACAAGGGGAAATAGGCTCCGATTTGATTGTCTTTTTTTTAGTTTTAGTATTAAAGCCATGAATTCTGAATATGGTGTTTCATTTTTGTGAATCGTGGCTTTATTTTGGCGAATCCTGGCTTTTTATGCATTTGGTTCAATATGATGTTACATACATCATGTTTGGTAATTATAGAATAGTATATGTGATAATATCTAAGTATTGCGCTTCACCCGAGTCAGGGTAGCGCTTTATTTGCGCCATGCGCCTTGCATGGAAGGCCCCTAGCGCTTCAAGTGCACCTTTCAACTTTGACTACCTTGATCCTAACTTTGATCAAACTGAGGTATGTTACATACACATCAAGTCATTGGCTTTGGGATTCTAGAAAATTAAATTTGTACAATACAACAACAACAACATCCAAGCCTTAGTCCCAAAAGATATTGGGGTCGCCTAACAAGAATCGATACATGATATCACCACCAAAAGGAAAAGAAAGAAAATAAAGATAAAAAAGATAAGCTATTATAAAAAGATAATATAAAAAGAGATGAATATACATAAAAAGATAAAATAAAAAGGATACAAATAATGCTTATATATATAAGGATAAAAAACAACGAAAAAAGATGAGGGGAAAGATGATACGAGATCACTCCTCCACACGAATACCCGCCCTCCACTTAGCTCTCTCCAAAGTCATGCTCTCATCCAACCCCAGAAGAAGCATATCACTTCGAACTCCACTAACCCACGTTTGTTTGGGTCTTCCTCTCCCTCTCTTCCCTGCCTCTTCTCCGCACATCTCAACTCGTCTGACAGGTGCGTCACTCGGTCTTCTATGCACATGACCAAACCACCGTAGGCACGACTCCCGCATCTTGTCTTCGATAGGTGCTACTCCGACCCTTTGTCTGATTGTCTCATTCCTCACGCGGTCCTTCTTAGTATGCCCACACATCCAACGCAGCATGTGCATCTCTGCCACACTCATCTTTTGAATGTGACATTGTTTCACCGCCCAACACTCTACGTCATACAGTAATGAAGGCCTAATTGTTGTCCTATAAAATTTACCCTTCAGTCTAGTTGGCATACCTCGATCGCATAGAAATCCTGACGCACTCTTCCACTTCATCCACCTTGTTCTGATTCTATGGGATACATCTCCATCTAACTCACCGTCCTTCTGAATTATGGAGCCCAAGTAACGGAACATAGCGCTGACTGGTATCTCCTTAGTCCTTACCATCCAGAGTAATTCCGCTATTACCATTGCTTCTACCTCCACCAAACTTGCACTCCATGTACTCTGTCTTGCTCCGACTTAGTTTGAAACCCTTATTCTCCAATGTTTGTCGTCATACTTCCAACTTTGCTAGTATGGCGACAAACATTGTTGTACAATGAAAAAAGTTAATGACAGTCATTTTTAAAAGATTTTGTGATGCAAAAGTAAAAAGAATTAAACACAAAAATACAAAACTAGTTCAGAGTGGTCCATGACACTTCTTGTTTACGTCCAGTAGTAAGGGTATCTCAGTCATTAAAGAAAGGATGCCCAAACAGAATAAACTATTCTCATCTCTAAACATATTAAAAAGATGGCATGTTTAACTAGCAATTGACAAAGGGAAAAACAAAATTGGACAGTACGGTTACATGCTAAACAGCCTCTGTGTGCCTACTACAGGGGTAAGGCTGCATATATCTGACCCCCTTAACCCACCATAGGTAAGAGCCTTTGCAGCACTGGAGTAATGTTGTTGTTGTTTGGGTACAGGTGAATCTCATATTAGCCATTAAGGTTTCATGTGGATCAAATTGGACACATGGGAATCTCATAAAAGGCACTACAGTTTTATATGATCCAAAAAACACATTTCTAAGATTTTCTTGTCATTTTTGGACACTTACATAGGATTCACTTTTTCTGTCAATAAAGAAAGTTAGTCTTATATTTCCTTTCTTTCAATAAACTAATTTAAGTGGTGTATTTAGTTTTAGAATATATAATTTGAGGACATGAAATGCCCAACCTTGGCGCCATAGTTTTTGGGTGTCTTAATTAGAAAACTATCTATCGTCACATTACTGAATTTAAATATCTATAGAAAACAAGCATTGCGAATTCAACTATCATCATATCTAAAAACAATTCTGCTGTAAAAATCAGAAACTTGAGAAAATCAAACGATTTCTGGGTGCTACGTATGCGTACCTTGGTTTGGAGATGCCTGTTTTTTCACCAGTTTTAGTGAGGACATCGAGATATTCTATTCCTTCTTTATGCTCAGCCGCCGTGTCTTTTGACATGATAGAGAGCGACAAAGACGAGTCACGGCAGTGAGAATACTAATTGCGGGTCGTCCTTAAGGTCCTTTGCAAGCCTGGATTGGCAAACTGCAGTTTCAATTTCAGAATCAATCAAAAATACCCTACTCCCTCAATTTAACCCGACCCGATGGATATCCGCACTGAACCGAATCGGACAAAATGGGGAAACCCGCTTTGACCGGGTAACGGATACGGGATGGGGAATATCCGATTTATGTAAACGGATAATGGGGCGGTTATGGGTTTATACCTACACACCCCGTTACCCGCCCCGTTACCCGCCCCGTTTAATTTGGATACGGTTACCCGCACCATTACCCGACCCGCACAATTAACTTACATATTTTAATAGTTTATGTATTTATTATTTAATATATTAAGTATATATGAATAGTAGTACATTAGTATATGACACTTATTCCCTCTATTTTTTTGAAAAAAAATCAACTAATCGGCTATCCTTTTCAATTCTAATGAGTTGATGCTCAAAATCCTTTGTTAACTTCTACAAGATTTGTTTTCTTCACATATTGATTATTTGATTTTCATGATTTTCTGTACACAATTTTCACATTGTGACTCTCTTATTTTTTCACTCAATAACTTTCATAACGCTCACATATGAGTTTGAAGTCCAAATATTGGGAAACATTACTCTAGATTACTTTAATTTATGTTATTGCTAATAATTTTGTAGAGGTGTATTGGATGATTAGATTAATTTTGATTGGTTGCTCTAAATTAGAATACCTAAATCATAGTATTAGAAGTACATTTTTTAGAAATAATATCAAATCTATAATCAAAATAAAAGTCGTGGACAAAAATGCGACTCTAGTAACTTTAGTGTTTATAATTCTATTCAAGTGTTATATCGTAGTGACTATAAATATTACCCATGATAACTTATAGTCACATTTATGTCCATATATTTTTTAGTAGTAATATTTCAGGAAAAAACTTCTCATTTTCATTATGTTACTTGTATACATTACTGCTCTTAAATTTAGATATTGAATGCTAGTGGGGTATGATTATTGAATTTTTGGAAGTTAAATGTTTTTGTGATTCATATTTAGATTTTACTATCGAGACAAGACTTAATCTCTTGATGTTGATGTGGTAAGAGATTCATAATTTTGAATCTAGACATATATAATTTGTGAATATTATGTTCAAAAGATTGTAATTTTTTGTGATGTTTTAAAAAACTTTATTTGTGGTGCTATTTAATTTTGATTTTTTTTATTTAGGTGGTCAATTATAAGTAGTTAATCATCATACTAATTTTGAAGGGAAAAAATTATCTTTTAATAAAACAATGGTGCTATTTAATTTTGATTTTTTTAATTTAGGTGATCAATTCTAAGTAGTTAATCATCATTTTAGGATTTATACTAATTTTGAAGAAAAGAAATTACATTTTAATAAAACGGTTACCCACGGGGAAACCGTTACTCGCGGGGAAAACCGTTACCCGCGGGTAAAAAATACCCGACGGGTAATGGGGCGGTTTCGGGAAAAAAATATTATCAAACGGGGCGGCGGGTACGGGTAATGGTATACCCGACCCCGAACCGCCCCGTTGCCATCCCTACAGTCCCTCCCTCAGTTGGATACAATTTGGACTAAAAAAGTTTTGAAATTTCAATATTATCCTTTTTTATTCCTTGAATAGAAGTAAACTAGCTTTCAAGCTCGTGCGATACACGGGTAGTATGTAATTTAGCTAATTTGAATTTTAATTTCTATCGAATCACATATAATGTGATTTAAAAGAAAAAGAACTTAATCTAATATAGAGTCTGTTTGATAATACTAAAGTAAACAGAATTAACTTATTTTGCTGATATTGATTGAATTCTAGTTAAATAGATGGAATCTTCTGAATCATGAAAAATATATGTGAAATATATTCCATTTGTGAAACAAAGAAAAAAATATATGAAAAAAAAGTTAAATTGGTCTTCTACATAAGCATCTCAAGTAAACATAATTGTTATGAACTCAATAATTAAAAAAATCTATATTTCTTAATTGTTAGATCTTACAGTTTACTCATTAATAAGAACGTTTTTAATTGAATTAAAATTTCGGGTTTGATTTGGTATGAATTAATATGATGTATTAGATGTTTGTTTTTATGTGACTTATTGTTATAATTATTAAAGTTTGATATGATCTTATTTAATTTGGAACTGAAATCAGTCCAATTAAAAAACATTCTATTAAAATAAAAGTAGGAATTCGTAAACCTATAAAGATTTTCTAATTTGGATTAGGAATATATTTCAAAAGTGAAGGCATATTTGAATTTTAGGTGTAAAATAAAGAAACACCCAAAAAAATTACTTATTTGGCTAAGCTAAACATATTTACTTGTGAAAATATTAACTTTATGTTGGTTATAATTTTTAATTTCATTTTTAATTATTTACTTATTTGAAGCTTACTAATTTATTAATAGGTGTCAAATTAATAAGTAAACTAATTTGCATATTTGTTTCTATTTAATTCGGTGTAGTAAACTAATATAAATTAGTTTCCATATCAATAAACGTTATTAGAATTTCACTTTGATAACCAAAAATTATTTTACTTATTTGAAGCTTACCAAATTAATTAAGGTGGATTTATAAGGATTTTTGTTTCCATATCAATATGCAATCAAAAATATAATCTAATAAAAACAAAAGGTATAAAATTAAGTAAATAATTGTTATATATAATGACATGGCAGGATTATGTGGCGTTTTGTAAGCTCTTAAAAAGTTCCTCATTTATATATATATATATATATATATATATATATATATATATATATATATATATATATATTGACAGGCTTTAAAACATTGCATTTTTTCCCCAACTTTGGCAGATTACTTCTCTTAAAGGAATAAAAAACATGATACTCCTATTTTGGAATTTCAAAACGTTGTTGCTCCTATTTAGAACAATTTCTATAGAAGTTACGAGTTTCCTTGATGGGACCTTCCATAACAAAGTTCTGATTTCCATTTTAAGAAATTAATCATTAAATATTAAAAATAATACATTTATAACATCACAGTTATCAATACTAACTACATTATAATATGTTGGGAATATTTTATAGTGTCCAATCTAGTTAAATATCTTTGTATTTGTATATTTATTAATTAAAAGTGTAATATGGGCCAAAAATATAATTCAACCAATTAGCTTCTTTGTAAGCCATGAGTTAGTCGTCATCTCCTATGAAAGGAAGTTAACTTATGCACAAACTAAGGCGAAAGAGAATAGAAGCATCCCAGCTGCTCTCTCTCTAGAGGGAGAGTAGCGGCCCATTTATACGATGTACCATGGTTCTTGACATATATAGTATCAAATCGGAACTTTCTATCTGTTTCTTCTCGTTTCTATGGCTGTTCAATTGTTACAAATAGGGACAAACATGTGGTATCAGAGCCGAGACGTGAAATAGATTGAATCCATCTGGGAGTTTTCGGATCTGCCATTGACGATGAAGACCCAGCTGCTCGAAAAACATATGCGGGGATTTTGGCTTGACTAATCTGCATTCGACGTTTTTCAGAGATTTTTGAAAGATTAGGATCGAAATCCGTTCGAAAAGGACCTGCAATTTCATTTCTGAAGAAATTTTGTTTTTACATCCGCAGATTCAACGAATATAGGTTTTTCGATGTTTGGAAGTTTTTTGATGTTTTGAAGATTTCGAACTTTGGAGTTTCTCGATGTTTAGAATCTTTCAAAATTTGGAGTTTCTCGAATCTCAGAATTTTTCAAAGCTTGATATTTTTCGTACTTCAGAACTTTTTGAAGCTTCTAAAAGAATTTCTCGATGTTGTCAGCTTTTCGAAGTTTAATAGAATTTTTCGATGCTCTCAGCTTTTCGAAGTTTTAAAAAAGTTTTCGTTGTTCTGAAGTTTTTCAATGCTAAAGTTTTCGATATTTGAAGGTTTTCGAATTTCCAAAGTTTTTGATGTTCTAAACTTCTTCGAAATTCTAAAGTTTTCAAAGTCTCAAGTTTCTCGAAGTTGAATTCCAAAAACAGGTTTCTCGCATTTAAAGTTCGAAAACAGGTTTCTCGCAGATTGAAGTTCGAAAACAGGTTTCTCGCAGATTGAAGTTCGAAAACAGATTTCTCGTAGTTGAAGCTCGATAAATTTTTCTCGCAGGCGAAGTTCGAAAAATCTTTTTCACAGTTCAACTTCGAAAAAGATTTCGCACTTCAACATCAAGATAAAGATCTCGAACTTCAACATCGAGAAAAGGTTCTCACACTTCAACATCGAGAAAAAGATCTCGAACTTCAACATCGAGAAAAAGTTCTCGCATTTCAATATTGAGAAAAAGTTTTCGCGTGTCAAATATCGAGAAAAAGTTATCGCGCTTCAAAAAGTTTTTCACATTTTTAACATTGAGAAAAAGTTTTTGTAGTTCAACGTCGAAAACCTCAATTTCAAAACAAAATCTCAATGTTCAAAATTCAAACTTTTCAAAATCTTGCACTGTTTTGGCCATAACTTTTGACTCGGTGATCCGATTTACGCAAATAATACTTTTACGGAAAGCTAAAGAAAATATCTTCACGATTCCTAGGGTGTAGCCTGGGACCCTTTCTCACGCTCCCTCACTTGTTGTTCTTGAGGGAGATATAATTCGTTTCCGAAAAATATTGTCAATCACCGAGGTCAAGGTCAAAACTGAGGCAAATCTGGTCAATCCTTCCAAAGTCAAACCAAAGGTCAAAGCTAGTGTAAACTACACTGCAGAGGTCCGGAACTCGTAGATAAATTCAATCAACCTCCCGTCAACGGTCATATTACAGCAATCAACAATCAACTACTGATGCCTCTCCTAACTCATCAACAATGTGTGATCATCAATGTGCTGAAATTCTAGATGATGAGCTCAGGGAAAACTGTCATGTGTGGTACTTGTTCAGATAGCTCCACACACATGTCGAGTATGACAAGCTGTGAGCAATCAATCCTTGCACACTCTGAGGGGGAGTCTCAGTTTTCTCCTCCTCGCGCCTTACACCGACAAAGCAAGGAATCTCTCAAAGGATGCAACGTTTGA